TAGGTCGGAGTTGGACGTATACTTACGGAAGGAAAAAGCCTCCGTCAGCGTGGTAGTATACGACAGGCCAAAGAGTTGCCACTCCATTATACCGTGCACTGAGTTTTTAATTAAGGAGTCTGAACGAATTCCTGGAGATTTTTCGTGGCTTTTACTCTGCTACGTCGTCATAAACACACACGACCGTAGTATAAAGAGAAAACGTACGTATATATGCAAATAAGTACAACGAGAAAAATTCAAGACATGTCACGTGAGTTATATTATACTACACAGTCGTATATTCAAATAAATCTACAGAAGCTGCTTTTTTCTTTGTGGCGATCGAGGATACTTGAGTCTTTTTTATTTTCTCCAATTTTCCAAGGACCGCGTAGAGCGCATCAATGTCAACGAAATGTAACCTGCTCGAGTCAAAGACTGAAAAGTTTCTTTTCCTTTTCATTAACGCGCACCGCTTGATGTAAGAGATGAACTCAAGAACTAAAAGACGGTATAAGTGAAAGATACACGGACTTATGTCTTGAAGGTGTGCAATAGCAGCACACCTTCACCAGTTTTAATATTTCTAACCCTCTTTTCGATGCTATAGTGCTTTTTTCGTCAGCCTCTTCTATATATTTCCAAATTCACCACTATGCTTCTTGCCTTCTGGCTTTATTCACTTCTAGATGCTTTTGTCTTTACACTGAAAATGTGTATATACTTGCTCATTTAAAAAATTTTTCTCTTTTGAGGCTCTTAAAAGAAGCGCCAAAGGGGTGGAAAAAAGTCAGAAGATGATCGTTTGGCATATAAAAATGTAAAAAGTTTTTTTTTTTTATATATAAAAAATCTAGAATAAAATATTATATAAGACTGTATGTGGGACTAAATGAATTATCTTTTTTAATATGTTCATCCAAGTAATACACACAGTTTCTCGTGGAAATCGTTATAAAGGATATGAGACACGCGCCGTCGGCGAAGAGATTATGCGAAACGAGAGCATGATAATTACAAGGCCTCTCCTACTTACATTCTCTTTTTTTCCCTCTTGCCATCTTTTTCTATCGTTTTTCCTCTGTTTCAGAAAAGAGGGAGGATTCACATACTTACGAAGAACAGCTTGGAAAAGCGTATAGCTGAGCGTGAACGTGGATCGTGAGTATACGCGTAATCGAGGTAGCGGCTGTTTGCTCAGGGTACACTCACCGAGAGAGAAAGAAAGAAGGGTAAGTCGTTATCACGATATATACATGTGTATGCAGTGTATGATGAATATCACATGCACACGCTATAAAACGTACGACGTCGCTATACCTCAAGGCTCAAATTTTCTCCATCCTGTGTCTCTCAATCTGTACGCCAGCTTATTTCTCACAACAAGAGAAAACCTGCGGCATGTATACCTACACAACTAGCTTATTTGAATGTCTACAGTGGTCCACTGACTACCAGCTTATCCACACGACAATACGTACATGTGACGCTTGCTCTAGCCTTTTCGCTAAATGGCTCTCTCTGGCATACCGATCCACTCTTACCGCCCTTCTGGTAACGACCACCTAACTACTTCCTGTGCTCGAGTACACACAATCTTGTGGGATTAAAAAGCACACCCGTTTACTCTCTGAGAAGACTGCCGAGAGAACAGGCGGTGTCGCGACTCTCTCTCCACCTCCTTTTCTCCTTCTTTATCATTATCACTCACTAACGTATGTGGAAAGATTATTTCGCAGTCCGCTGCCCGTCAAGACTGAAAGTTAACCGCGGCCTTTTCTTTTTAATTAGTCTGAGTTTATAAACACTTAGTATTATTATTATTATTATTATTATTCTTGGTATATTTTCTATAAGTTAATTAAAGTGGATGAAGGCAAAGAAAGATCAATGGTGACAGTTGATTTTTTTATTATTTAATTGAATATTATTTTTCTTCTAATTAAATTGTAATTTGTTTTAATTACACATTTCATTATTAATAGTAGAGACAATAAGTTATTTTAAAAAAAAAAACTTCTGATTAAAGGAAAAACGAATTAATTAAAATATCAAAAGAATGCTATCTTGTTATTTTATCAGAAAAGATAATTTTATAATAGTCGATTGAATTATATAACCAATGTTTTTCTCTATAAAAAAGAAAAATATAATTTTTATATTGATTTTTTTTTGTTTATATACAGAATAAAAATAAGATAAATTTTTTTGAACAAGTAATAATCATTTAGTTGTTACTAATTAATTGAATGATTTATTATTAGTTCAGCATTTGATATCTTGACAAGTTAAAAAAGTGATTTCGCTATAACAGTAAATCTTTTACAGTCATGGTTTTACCTTCACGGTGTTCAACTTATCATTCTCCTATAAGCTACTATTAATTACTAGTTTTAATTGAAACAAAAGTTTTACGGAAATGCATGGGAAATATATTTAATCAAATAACAGATGCCTGTCATAAATGTAAAAAAAAAATAGTATAGGAAGTGTAAAGAAAAGGCACGATAGTTCTTTGAAAACTAGGGAGAAACAAGAAAATATACGCGCAATAGCACTAACGACCGGTCACGTGTCTGACGAATAAGATAAGGGGTCAAAAAAGGAAATTTGCGTTTAGAAAATTACCGCGTCATTACTTCGTCTGACCCTTCACGTGTATTATATACGAGAATGAGACAGAAGGCGCGGCAGCCAGGGAGGAGAAACATAGTGACGGAGTTGTGAGGTGGTAGGTGGTATATTCCATCCACAAAGTGTGATCTAGCAGTGCGATAAGTCAAGCAAGAAATTACGAGCACACGAAAGACGAAGGGATGAGTCGTCCTTGCACGAATACTTTGTAGTCACTCCTCGAGGGTAAAATTAGACACTTACACGTCACCATTGAGCATCATATTAATTATTGAAGCGGTCAATAAATATTTAAGTATTTTTTTTCTTTCTAAATGTTGAAGGTTCAATTATTAGAGAATTTATAGTACAATTGTAGTGAATAGTAAAGAAAATTAAAACTTATTTGAAATAATTGTAGAAAAAAGGCATAGAAAATGATGAGAACGACAAGGTGAAAAGAAATGATGGGTCACAGAAAAATGTAGCGTTTCGTGTCACACGGAGAGAAAGAGCTATTTGGCCCAAGTTTCATATCATATGTGGTCATTACCCATCATGTACGACATAAAATGTCTTCCATCTTGATGATAATATCGAGTTAGCTTTGTCGCGTGTTCTGGTACAGAATCTGATAACAACCCTAGTCCTACTATCTAGACGTTTCCACCTCACTTTACTAGAATATCTCTTTTTATTCTGATATTTCCTAGTCACTTTGTTCCATTTCCTACGAAAAAAAAATCTGATCTCCTTTTTTTTTTAATAATCCCTTTCAATTCTAATCGTGAATGAATATTCTATCGATAAAAGAAAAGACACGTGAACTCTATTGCCCTAAGATCATCTAATCACCCTCGTTGAAAGCGTGAGAAAATAGGGTGGCCTCAAAAAATCCTAGAGTAATTATCGTTCAATATTGAATCACGATAAAGATGATCATTTGTCCTGGTTTTCTATATATTTTAATGCTCAAAGTGTTACCAGTATTAAATAAAGAAGATCATAAGGGGAAATAAAAAATAATAATTTTCTATTGATATCATCTAATAAATTCTAATATGCAACATAGTTTACATAAATGTATTTTTTTATATAAACTAAAGTTCAACATATATAATTTCACCTAATTGACTTGAAATCAATATCAAAGGAAAATGAATTTTTTTATGTGTCTATATATATATATATTTATTGTTTTTTTCCATTTAAATTCTAACTATAATAAGATAACATTGATTATATAATTTTTTCAATAATAAAGAAACAAAGAAAAATAGCTGGAAAATGACGATAAGTAAGTGTTTATAAACAAATGAATATTTAAAAGGGACATTGAAAAAAAAAATATATACATTTAATAGGACACTAGCGGATATACCTTATAAAGGTTTAGATGACTTCATAGCATGTACATTGACACGAACCTATATAGGGGCTGAGCTTGATATTTAATACTAGAAGGCTGATTCCGAGAGAATGAGTGCTTTTCGTGACAAAAGTACAACATCGTATTAAGAGGTGAGGGGGGAATTACTTGGACGATGTTACATGCATAAGTGTAGAATAATGTAGTGAAGCATTTCCGCATAGGAAGCCGTGCATTAGGATATCAGATCAAGCACGCGTTTGATTCAAAGCAGAAAACGACGAGAAAAAAGTCCAAGCGACTAGCCTTACGTGATTAGCTGAGTTTACCAAAGGGGTGGTGGGCGGAAACGAAGACGACATTTTACTCGCGTTTATTTTAGTATTGAAGCTTCTCTCTATTATTTTCATTAAATATAACGTAGATAAGAGATTACGTGGGTTGATTATATAGTTGGATTTTTATATCTGATAACAAAAAAAAAATATGTCTCCGGCTTAAGTAAATGATGTATGAAAGTCTATATGAAAAATCATGAACGATAAGACAATAGAGTAACATATTATATGATAATATATAACGTCTAGACTACTTTAGTTCATCTTATATATCTACGATCTCGTACTCAGCCTAATTATAATCATACTAATGCCCAGTGGCCAGTACTAGATACCACCTGCAACCCTCCTGGGTAAGCTAACAAGTATCTACGTAGTCGACGATATGTTGGACGTTGCAGAGTAGAATAACGTAGTAACTTATTCAACAACTTGTGGTAATTAAGATTCAGACACACCCATCATGACTTTTCACCATCTCTTGGATTCATATGAAGAACATGGTGAGCATGATGAAGGAGTGGCTTACCTTTTATTCTCGTTTACATGAGAGTGGGAGTTTACGGATAATGAAAATTGGTAATGTAACTCGTCATCTTGATTTCAAGTCTTTGAGAGCACGAAATTGGACTTGTTTGTGGGAATGGCCAAGAGAGATAGAGAAAAAAGTAATATGAATTAAATGAAATGTCACTCACCTAAAGTTGGAGAACCACTTGACCAACTGTGCGGTATTATTTTTGTTGAATTTGATGTCTGGGAAGTACATCTTCAGGACTGCTGAGGACGGATACCTCACCCAGAAGAACATCAGCTTGGCCTTCCTGAGATGCATCGGAGTCAGCGTCGACGATTGCACAGTGGTTAAGGAAATACTTGGATATTATAAAATCTTATTGTCTAATAATTATTTTATACTTGATAGTATTTTTCTTTATATAAAATTGGATTAGAAATCGTACAAGCTGAGGTATTCTGATAGTTGTGGGGTCCCGACGTTAACTCAGGTTGACCTACGATTGGCCACATCTTCACTAGAAGCCTTACTGTCTCCTTACTTAGTAATAGGATATCCTACTGTGGTTTCATCGAATCTTTATTTGGTTAATCCGCGCGTTCGATATCTCTCACCCCACTTCAATAGATGATACTGTGTTTTATGAACATTTTCTCGCCTTTGTATTTATTTTAGAGTACTTCTTAGACGAGAGAAAAATATTTAGGATATTAATGGAAGCGTTGCAGCGTTCACACGTGATGAACAAGAGAGTCGACGTTGAGGTGGACTCTGGAGGTTGCGATGCATGTAGTTGTGCGCTCGACCTACCCCTAGGCTTATCGTTTGACGAGGATGAGCAAGAGAAAATGTCGGAGGAAAAAACGACGGCATTGATTTTACATCAAAGGGCGAACTAAAAAGGCGGCAAAGAACGTCGTGTGATGATCGAACGCCCACGATGCAATACCGTTGCATCGTACACCCTAATGTGCAGCTCTACTCTCTAACTCTACTGATCGAGCGAACTGATCCCTTCCTTTCACCCGCTCTTTTTCGTTTCCTTTTATTCTTATTTCATTTTATTTACGTTTATTGATTTTTATTAAATTTTTTTTTTCTTTTTTAATAATTAATTTGACCAATTTTATACACGGATGAATAATTCACTTAAATTCATTAAAAATAAACCAAGTTTATAACTTTATGGCATGAATAAATGAAAAGATACCGTGAGTGTACTTTCATATAACTTGAAAACGAATTTCCCATTTTCTCAGTCAAACTGACGGTGCAGATTATTGGCTTGGTAAGTTGGTAGAGAAGCTCTATGTGAGTAGTCGAGTACAGTGGAAAGAACTTTCGTAACTGTACTTTGTTGCTGGACAAACTCTATGCTCGTATGTGTGCTCGACGTTAGTCTAAACTCCATGACGAACTAATCTAACATTCGTATAAGCTAACCGTCTAACTACCTCAACTTTACAACTAAGTTTCTGAGAAAAAAAATTAAAACAATTGTCAGCAAAGTTTATATTACTTATACTTAAATAAATCGTGGACTTGAGTTAACGAGACATTTTTTATACCTTATCAGCTTATAGACTAATTATTTAATAGATAATAATTGATATTGATTATTAGAAAAGGATATTGTAGGCTGAACTCCATCATAACTGATATCACCAGAGTTGCAATCGCTTCCTCTGTCGTTACTGTCAATCCTTAGATGACCATAGTCTGGACTACCATGTTGAGCCGCTGCTAAGAGTGCAGGATGTAACATTGCTGGTGGATGAGGTAGTGGTGGTGAATCACGAAGATCTACACCACCTCCTGGTGGACTTGCTGGAAGATGATGAGGTCCAGGTGGCGGTACTTGACCTGGATGACCTCCATGTGGATTAAAGAAAGGTGAATAAGGTGAAAATACTTGGCTTTCGTGAAGACTTGGATTTGGTATCGCAACACTCGTAGGTAGTGAAACTGGTAACATTGGAGGTGCCGCGTGACCATACACGTGGCGCGTTGGTGGTGGTGGGGGTGGTGGACTCTCATTACCACTTTGAGAACCGCTGCCTTCTTGTGCTAAGATTCGCGATACGGTTCTTGGAGTAATCCTTGTATCGGTGACCTGGGAACATAGATCAAACTTTATCGAAAAATGCCGCTGTGACTGAACATATAATAAAAATATGACAATTTACCTTATGTCTTTTCTTCTTGGGTGTCATAACGAGCGATAATGCTTCATTTTGTTCGATGTCTCTCGCTTCTCTGTCTTCACTTCGCATGTTGCAGTATTGATCACGTTGTTGTTCTCTTTGTTGTTGCTCTCTTTGCTGTTGTTGTTGTTGTTGCACTTGCATCGACGCCATAGCATATATCGTCGGTGGTTTAGGTGCTTGAAAAATAGGAGCATTTGGTCTCGCCAATGGTGGTAATTGATTAATTTGATTTAAATTATTTTCCGTTGGGCCTGAGAGTGGACCATGTGGACCACCCATAGAACCTATTGGCGGATAAGATGCGGTTTGAGAAGGTGGGGGGCCACCGTTGAGCGGCCCCCGTGATCCGTTTGGGCCACCGGATGGTTGAGATGCTCCCCTGTCAACTACTTTCGTTCTTGGAGAAGATTTTCTGTCTAGCAGTTGACTTCCATGAAGAAGATCTTTATTCAATTGATCTGCACTTGCTTGAGCTGCTTCAATTGATTTACCAAACCTTCTCTGTTGGAGATATTTAGCAAGCACGGCATCAACAACATTCCCAAGAGTCGAAGACATTTCTGATTTTAAAATATCAACAAGGCCTTCAAGGTCGGTTTCAGTGATATGAGTTCCAGCTGAACTCGCAGAGTGTGTATTACTTCGAAACACGTTCAGTCTTTCTTGGAAGTCCTTATGTTGATGAGGTGTATTTGAAGTTTGCATTTGTGGTGTCTGAGGTGTTGGTGGTCCCGTATTTCTTTGACTTTGTTCTCGTCCTTGATTAGACGGAGGAGGCGTTTGTTGACGTTGATGTTGTTCACGTTGCTGTTCACGTTCTCTTTGCTGTGCTTGTTGTTGTTGTTGTTGTCTTGCAGCAGCTTCTTGATGTTGTTTCATCCTTTCTAGAGCTGCATGCTGTTGTTCTAGGTATAATTTTTGGCCCATATGATACATTGCAGCCGCGGTAGCATGTGGATGATCAGGCGGCAGTGCTGGAAGGCCATTATAAGGTGGTGGATGAGGTCGTGGCGGTCGCGGTGGCGGCTGCTGGGGTTGATTTTGAGGACTCGCTGGTGCTTCACTATTTTCATTGCTTTCAGGTTCCATTCGACTCGAAAGCTCATGGTATTTTTGTTGCATCACTGCGAGTTGTTCATGTAAACGTTTTAATTGATTTTGTAGAGTATCCTTCTCTTCTCTTTTTTGTCTTATTGTCGAAGGATCCTCTTCTTCTTCACTATCTTCATCATCAACGCTCATCATTGAATCATTCATATTGTGTTGAAGAACGTGATGAACAGTTTGTTGCTGTGGTTGATAAAGTTTCCTTTTTTTACAACCATTGACAGGTTGTAATGCAGGACTACTTCTCATCGTGCTAACAATATTCTCAACACGCGCACGTTTAATTTCTGTCGATGGCGAGTTAACTTCAGACTTTGGTAAAATTGGACATGGTGAATGACTCGCAGAACGACTTTTTTTGATACTCATTGAGTCTGGTAATTCTTCTTTAATCGATACTGAACCAGGACGCGTTACCGATGGGCTTGGAGGTAAACTTGGTTCACAGTCTGATCCATCAAGATTTGCACCAGGTTCCATACCCGCCTCGGCAAATGCTTCTTCCATAGCACGTGCAGCTGATGCTGCGTCTTCTGCACTATCTTCAGCATCTCCTGGCATCACAGTATCTCGATCACTATGATTAGTATTTAAGTTGTTCCCATCAACACTTTCTTCTTCTCCACTTTGCACTGTACCACTAATCGCACGCGCACTATCACTATTTTGATGATGTTGTTGAGGACTTTGTTGTTGGTGTTGTTGAGACTTAATTAAATCAGTTGTATTGTTATTGTTATTATTAGTATTATTATTATTGTTATGATTATGTATACTGTTGTTATTGTTAGGTTGTTCCTGTACACCAAGGGCGGTTAGTTTACGTCCTTGAAGTATATCACGTAACATATGTTGCGTAAGTTCAGCCGCAGTAGCTGGATCATCACAATTGACAACCGCGCCTGATTGAAGGTTAGCAGTCTGGTCCATGCCAGCTCCAGTCATTCCGTGGCTTCCTTCGGGTGGTGATCCACCGGCATCACTTGCCTGTTTCACTTGTCGTCCAAGGAGCTCGTTCAGCATCTTGGCGGGGCCAAAGCTTGGAGCCCCGAAGAAGCCGAATGCCGCGTGAGCGGAATGCTGTGTGGTCGGCCCCGTTGTTGTAGTGAGATGACCTTGAGTATTTGGTACTCCAGACTGTTGCTGGAGTTGTTGTTGCTGCTGCTGTTGTTGTTGTTGTTGCTGTTGAGGCGATGGTTGATGACTTGATGGTGGAGCAGATCCACTAAATATCGCACCGTATATACCACCGCTTAAGAAGGATGGCCGGGAACTAAAGTTTGGAATACTTGAATAGCTGTTGCGTGGCTCGCCGGCGTCCACGCGCTGTCTGGTGCGCTTTTGCTTCTTCAAAAGTTGCTGTTGCTTACTATCCGCAGTTGCTCCGTAGAGGGCGAAACAGTCGGTCTCCTCCTCCGATGACATCATCGGCCGTCTGGTTGGTCGGCCCCCCAAAGGCCTCCGCGTCCCCTCCCCGCCAGGGCTCCTTATCTCCCCTCCCCTTCTTACTCGAATAGCTTGCCTCGTGGCTTTGTAGGCTCTTACTACACCCCAACACTATCCCTTCCACTGTAGCCACCTCGCTCCTTCTAGCAGTCGTGCTCCCCTCCTTACAGTTTACGGAGATTTCTCCCTCCTTGATGTCGCGACTTGTATTTCTTCTCTCTCTATCGTGGTCTGAAAAATCGCAGACCTTATTTCCTTTTATTTTTTTCTCCTTTTTACTGTCAATTTTGTTACTTTTAATTTTTTTTTATTCTTTTTAATTCGTCGATAATGACAACGAGTTAATCTTCGATCGTTTTTCTCTTATGTCATCACCGCCACCGCAACTATATCGTGTCTTAATCACTTTTTTCTTCTAGTTGCAATGTCTTTATGTACCAATTATTTGGTCCTTTCTCTCCTTTTTATTCTATTTTGCATCCACGGCCTTCCCTCTTCTCTATTCTCTTCGCCACTACCTTCGTTTTTAACTTGACTCTCGTTTACTATTCTTCACCACGTTTTTTTCGCCCTAAAATCGACGCCAATGGCTGTCGATCACTAATCTTAAATCTATGATACGTTCTTAAATTATGCTTGCGATTGTTCAAGAGTGTAGGGGTGTTGTCGGGGCTGTTATTGCTCCCGTGACTAATATTACTCTTGCTGCTTTCCCGACAACTTGAGCTTGTGTTACACTTTATTTCTCGTAATCGATGCTTGATACTTTCTTTATTTTCGTTTATAATTCCAAGTGTTGCAGCTGGACACGGAGCTCGCGTAAGCGGAATCCTCGTGCTCCCGCCTGGGAGCTGCATCCTTCGAGCGCTCCAAAGGGCTAGCTGCCCCTCGCTCCCTCGTTTCGATATTCGTGACTTCAATTCTATCGCTCTGCAATCAGAAAATCAAAAAAAGATACATTAATAATCCGATTATTCAACAGTATAACAAGTTTACAAGTTGTTAATCAATTTACAATCTTTATTGTTTCAATTTAAAAACCATAAAAAATTTATTTTAAAAAACTATTTAATTGCTAAATGAAACTTAAAGTTTCATAAAAAAATTTAGATAGACTCGAGTCTTATGACAAGTCTAAGAGAATTAAGAATGACAGTATATTCAATGATAGAAAAGACAACTGACTTTATGATGAGTAAAGAAATGACCATAAGAAAATTACATTCAAATATCTTATTCAACAAGCTACTTGCAAGTTTTCAATTACATATACACTCTGAACTATAGATAGATTTGACACATGAGTCGATATGATAAGAAGTATTTTTCTGGAGCATCTATTTAAAAAAATAATAATTTTAAAAAGTAACTGTTTATTGAAGAATTGTATCAAAGTATAAAACTAATAGAATCATGATTGTTCTTTTATTTTATTATTTATAAGTTCATTCACTTATAAATAAATCAAAAATTGTATCATCATGATAAAAAGTTACATAGATATAGAAATAAAAAACACACTAGGTCATCTAAAATATTTATATCTTCAAGTGTAAGAATTTTTTTGCTAATCAATACAATGTATGCACATAAGACGTAGATGTACTATATTAAAGACCTTTTCTTTAAATCAGTATAAAAATAGTTGCCTTCGAAACTCAGAAAATCATTCATTATAACAAGTTTAAACTTTCTTATTGATTAATGCAATTAATAAATAAATCTATTTTTATATAAAAATAATACAAAAAAAAAAATGAGATGACATTAAATGTAAATTTATGTTCTTCGAGATAAACTCTATATTCTTATCATATCTAATAGTTATTTCAGCTGTGCAAATTTATTGTAAAAATTTCAAGATCAATGTCAATGACTTGAATTCATTCAAAGATAAAATTAATAACATATCCTCAACTCAAGTAAATAAATAATATATCCACCATGCGTATAACCTAAAAGAGCATAAAAATCAATAATTGGAAGAATGCTGTACAAATATCATTTCACTCGAGAAAAAGAAATGAAAAAAAATACGTTGGGAAACCGAGTGTACCACGTGGTAAAGACATATGGTTGTAGATAAGAACATGAGGCCACTTTACCTGGGGACGCTTCGAGGGGGGGCCTCTCTTTCGTGAGGGTACACAAACCACTCATACACTTCCCTTAAACGCATCGAGGGCTCTGATGCGTGGGATTCAATGAAAAAAGAAAGGTAACTCACCGGAAATGGCCTCCACAAGCAAAGCCTCACTACCTCCCCTTCTTCATCATATTCCGAGTCGGAAGTATGCCAGAGGGTAATTACGCGCGAGACGCCGCCGTCTATTCACGCGACGCTCAACCACGAGATTCACGAGAGACAGACATGAGTCGACTTTTACGCGTAACGCGTCGATATAAAAGAACATGAAATCATTCATTTAGCTATAGAGAAGTCACCAAAATTTCACCCGCAAGCCATGACATGTGTGATGAACTTTGCTTTAAGAATGATGAAAAATGACTGATTAAAATAGCAAATGATGAAATTTTCGTCTGAATAAATTCTTAGACCCTCAACTAAAGCTTTTATGTTTTCAGGAAATAATAGCTTTTATGGCACGAATCATCGACCGAAACTTCCTGTACATTGATCATGCGATATTTACTATTTAAGCAGGTGATTGCGTTTCAAAGGGTGATTACACGATGATGACTCTTATAGTAATGTCCTTTGTTTGTGTTAACCATCTAGAAAGTATTTTACAGTATTATACTTCATTTAAGTTTATTACAACAAGAATACTTTAATAGTATTCTTCTCTATCTTTAAAACTACCTTTAGATTAAACAAAAATGAAGTAATTATTACACAAATTATTTGGTAATATATTTCAAAGCAGCTGGAAAAAAGTTTAGGACACATAATTTTTTTTTTTTTCAACTCACTAGACACACCCTTCAAGACTGCAAAAATATCAACCTTATCTTACTGATGGTTTATAAAGTCTCCACATGTCATGACAACACGCAGCAACATGTGCAGCGGAATTTTAGCCCCCCTGTAGGTGTCATGTGGTAAGTAAGTGAAAGGTTCGCAGGGGGTTCCTGGGAACTCGATCACGATCACCAGTCCATGTCGAATAATTTCTCTTTCCTTACTTCCTCACTTAGCATTCTTACTGATCGTTGCCCTTCTTACTACACTCACCCCTTTTGAGTTATATAAAATGACGGTAATATCCGTTCTGTAATAGTGAATTCTATATTTCTGTAAAGTAAGTCAATAATGATGATGTATACTTGCATAAAAGTTCAACTTTTTTTCCCCTTGCACAAATGTTAACTTGATAAATAATGCGTTGCGCGGTTTTATTATTGTTCAGCGGATGAAGCATATCAATATTTATATGAACTAATTTATTTATTTATATTTATGAAGAATACATGAATATGGATGTATGTACGATGGCAATGCGACTATTGTATGTTTAATACATGTATACACATATATATATATATAGATATTATCTGCTTCTGGTTACATTACAAACCGTGCAACAAGTTGACACTCACTACAGTTGATGCGTTATTAATCGTTAGTTAATTGCGTTAATGTGCCGGGAGCAACGAATCAATGAAATGGGCAAAAAGCACGCGTATTCTTTCTCATTCGTCTCGCGGAATTTTATCACTGTTATTTCATGCATAGGGATTTCGTTTTGATTTACTGATATATGGACTTTGTGATCTACATGTTTACAGGTAGATGTATGTATATATCAGGCTAAATTACACCTCGCTATTACGACTCCATTTACGTTGGCGACAATTTTCATAATTTACACTTGGGTTAATTTGTTTGGTTTTGTTCTTGCGATGATGCGTGACAATAATCATTATTTTCTTTCTTTGTTTTTCTTCTCTACTCTGTCTGTTGCGACTATTAAATAAATTCATTCATGATCACATTATCATTATTATTAACAACGATCAATTAATTGTCCTCTATGTTAAAACCATTTTTATGTAGATAAATAATAAATAATTTGCTTTCTAGAATTTAAATTAAAAAAAAAAAAATAAAGTTGTTCATTTTAAAATTAATTTAAATTGATAAGAATAATTATTTGCATGAGAATAAATTCTCTTTTGCTTGAATATAATGTGAGAAAGATGAACTGCCATCATCTATAGGTTTGATCTAGTAGTTGATATTCTTACATTCTTCTCAATGAAGATATTTCTTATACACACAATGCTGATTCTAAAGACCATTTATCCCTTCATCTCAAAGTTCTAACGTATGGAATTCATCGTCTTTACAAACTTTTCGTAAATAGAATTGACAGTGAGGGGAAGATTTCGAACCATCTCACGGGATATACAATGAATCGTCGTGAGGGCAAAGGGGCTCATGGGTCTTCTTCAACGGTCGAGAAATCAAACGGTGGCTACGGACTACAGTTGAGGATTTCCCAAGGTGTATGTCAGCCTCCTCGCAAATCTCCTCTAGAGAATTTTCCGAAGATTACTCTCACTCGCTCCCCCGGGGTTCCCATGACTTGTCACTGTGGGAAATACTAACGTCTGATATTAAAAGGTGAAAAAAATCTCAGCTCGCCCTTCAACCTAGTATGCTTCTCATGTGGAAAAGGAAATGTATACACATAAACACAACGGTCCTTACCCTCAATGGCGTCGAAATTAATTATTTACCATTTTTTCTCAAAGTTTAAATTCCATCAATAACATTCATCATTTGCTAGCTTTTAAATTACTTCTGGTAAATAAAACATTCATTTTTAACAATAAGTAAATACTTTACTGACTCCTGTTGATTCAGTTGTTGTCATTTAAATGATTGGGGATAATAAATAACCATAGCAATGAACTTGGATAATTTAAAAAAATTATCATAAACAATCATCAAGTTCTTCTATTGATTACTGGTTATTTAAAGAAGCAGCAGTAAATAAAAAAAAAAGAAGTCACAATTTTCTTATAGATTACAAACTACAAACCAAGTAATTTCCGTTAATATTAAATGTTTAAAAAAGCCTGAAATCCCTGCAAGTCGATGCCACTGCAAGATGTAGTAGACCCCTCAGTGCTCAGGTGTTTCTTTCCACCAGGCATTGTAGTCCCTCGATTTAAATGTCCAGGTATCCCCCTCTGGCAAGGTAATTTCTCTCTGTTAGGGTACCAAAAAGCTAAGAATCAGTAAGACGAAGGTGGTAATCTTACGACTGTTCATAAGGCGCGTGCCAGCTGCAGTATCAAGGCGTAACCGCCGTTTCGGCTTCTCTTACGGTGGGGTTCCCATTGTCGTTGTGGCTCTAACTACCGACCCTTCAACGTCTTGGGGGCCCCCTTCGTGTAACGTCTTAGAGAGACTTGAAACATCGTACGTCAAGCCAAACGAAACCAGTTGGCATGTGTCGACATAGGTGGGGCAGCAACGGTTTTCAAGTTACTGCCGTTGCGACTTCTTACTTTTTTCACCACCCAGTTTTTTGTTCCTTCAAATACTACTTTAGATGATTCTACAAAAAAATATGTCAATAGTCTCCATTGTCTGGTGGTTTATTTCGAGTATTAGAACACAGATATAAAAATAAAATGCAATCTTTCTTTATCGTTCTCGAGAAAATTGCAGAGAAGTGGATCGAAATGAATAATAAGAGCTGATATCTATAGATATATAGAGTAATTTAACGATGAGCTGCATTTAGAGTTTTATTAACCAGGGTAGTCTTGGCCATTTTTCTGAAGCAGTTACATACATATATACATGTATATTGGTCTATATTGTGCACACAGCATATTGGCAATTTGTGTTATATATCTGAAAATTGCGACATTATTGTCATTGGTTTACTAGTCAAGTCTTGATGGCAGTCTGCCAGTTAAATGTTTCCAACTACTTTTTCCCAAGTATCTAA